GTGTGACCTGGGGTATCTCCCATGATGAGACAGAAAAAGAAATACCCAATTCTTCTCTCTGAGGAGGAGAATTATTTCCAGCATCATGAGAAAACAAAGCAGACCAAGAGGGATTATTTTCCCCAAACAAGATGCTGTTTGAAAACACCCACTTGGAGTCACACATCATTTTTTTCCTCCCTGCTTTTTGCAACTTTGCCAAATCCAAAAATTTTGATACTGAGTTGGCTTCTAAATTCACGAGACCAGCTTAAAATTCCTGAGATTGTTGTTTTATTTTGAAAAATCTCATTCTTTTCATTCAGTGCCTACTGCTGGAGCCCTAAAAGACCCCATTTTCACATGTGTCTTTGACCACAGTGGCTAGAAACTCCCTTTTGCTCCCCCCTCCACCTCCTTTTTCCCTGAATCCCTGTCGATCGAATGAATTCTGGAGCCGGGCCTCAAAGCAAACACGAAGCATTGTGAGATTTGCAATTGATGGTAGGAGTTGTCAAGAGCTGTTGTCAGCACAGCGTACAAGATGTGCGTGAACCATCCCCAGCAACTGTTCCTTCCCAAGCCAGCTCTGCTGACAAGACAGAAAGCACACGGAGCCGCCTTTCCCGGCACAGATACCCGCCGCAGAAGATGAAACGAGAGCTTACCCTGCTGTCAGTTTGAGAGGCGTTGGGTTTGAGCTGGAGAAACACCCCCGCACACACACACACCTGCTCCCACACACTCTGGCTCAGCCCCAACCCTCCCCACGCCGCGTTTCACATTCAAGGCTGAGCGGGTTTTGCTGCCGGGACACGTCTCGGTGCCCAGGATCGGGTTGGGACGGCCGGAGCTTGCCGGGAACCCGCAGACCCGTGGGGTGGGAGCAGGTGGAGCGGCCGGGGCCGGCTGCCCGTGCTCCGGGAGGACACAGCGGCTTTGTTTGCCTGTGTGCGGTGTGGGAGGTTCCCCCAGCTTGGCACCAAGAAGGTTAGTGCTTTTTAAAAGACTATTGTTTTCACCCTGTGTTTTTGGAAAAAAACAAGGGGGGGAGCTGGGCAGAGGCGTGAGATCCACCCTGGCTTCTTCTGCCTGGAGTTTCTGCTGCCGTGGGCACCTCCCCGGCTGCCCTCCCGGCCCCCCGACCTCCTCCTTCCCACGCGGCCGCAGCTCAGATCCCTGATCCCGCTGAGCTTGTGTTCCTTCACGTCTCCCCCTTCCTTCTTTCCCTGTTCATCACTTAGGAGAGGTCTCTGCTGCGTCAGGGGCACCACCACCAGCAGAGCAGAAACACACAAAGGAGTGTCCCCAAAGCCAAGACTTCTCCAGCCTTGGCCTTGCACGGGCATCTCAGCTTTCGTTGTGGTAAACCAGCCACCTGGCCAAAGCCGATTGCCCTCAGCGCTGCAGAGCTGGACCTAAAGATTTGCTATGAGATGCCTCGGGGCTAGTGACCCAAATAAGACAGAACCCCCAAACATATTTGGAAAAAAACCCCACATGTGCTTTGGGTCTTGGTCTGTGGTATCTGAGCTGGGATCAGCAGGATCTCCAGGCGGTTTTAGCCAGGCTCCGACTGAGGTGCAACACACACATGCCCTTTTCTTAGGAGCGCTGGGTTCAGGGTTTGTCCTCCCTGGCTTTCACTGTTATCAAATGCCTGCCTAATGAGATTTATTGGATCAAATAACTTCTGTATAATAACGGCAGGAATGCAGTTTTCCTCTGCTCAGCCAGGGCTCACTGCGACTGTGCGGAGCAATTAGAGGTGACTCACAGGGGCAGGTGGACTTGGCCAGGATCCCGGGAGGGCTGGCCCTGTCCCCGGGATGCAGAGTGCAAGGTTGGGTTCATGGCAATGCTGAGAAAGCTGGTGTCTATCTGCATATAGTGATTTTTTTGTAACTGGATTAGTATGGAAGGTGTTTTTCCTTTGGAGGAGTTGCAAGGTAATGCCTCATTATGCAAGGGATCCAAACAGCTGAGGGCTGTTGCTAATTGGCAAAAATATTTAAGTTTCCCACCTGGAGCTGGTTGAGTTTGCTGATGGAGTTGTCTGCAGCTCAGCTGCTCACCAGCATGGAGACTGGGGAAGGATCCTAGCTCTGGAGTGGGTGGCTGTCGGTGAGCCTTAGCGCTGGAGGATGCTCTTTCAGGGAGGTGAAGGTCAGGAGCAGGTTAACACCCAGAAGGTGATTCTTAGGTGCGGGCAAAGTCTTTGGTTCGGCTTGCCTTGTAGCTCCCTTCCTTAGTATAATGATTGGAATGATGAAAATTCACTGTCTCAGCCTTAAATGATGAGCGGCTTCCTGGTCTGCGTCCCCAGCTTGCCCCACAGATAAGGGCTGTAATGCTCTTTGATTAAGATAACAGGGAGCCAGACCTGTCCTTGCTCTTGACAAATTCTAATCTCGTGATCCATTTCCTGGGCTGAAGTGGTTTCACACAGCAGCAGAGAGGGATGCTTCTCAACTCAGGCTACTGTAACTACATGTCTTTAAATCTCTCTTAACTGCTAATGGTGAAAGAAACCATCTCCAAACCCTGCCACAAAGCCCTGTTCCACCTGGGGCAGGTGGGTGAAGGGTGGGAAGATCTGGCCTTTAACCTTGAGGAGTTTTTCCCTGCGTGCAGCTGCTGTGTACTTTGCTGAAGCTCAACAGCTTTTGCAGTCAGATCCAGGGGTGGGGAACTTGGTTAAAGTGGTTCCTGTCTGTGTAGCCTTTTCAGCGGGGTGAGATGTGTGTACACAAGCACTGAGGCTTTGGGTTTATGGTGTCAGGCTTTAAATGCAAACAGCTAAATTAGGAGGAGGTTTCATGGGGGCAGTGAGCCCTGCAGCTGCACCAGGAGCAGCTCCAAGCCAAGTGCCTGGACAAATCTGGATCTCCAGAGCTGCAGAGAGTGCTCTCATCTCTTGCATTGCTCCTTAGAGCCATGCTGCTAATCCTTTGTGTCTGTGCAAACACAAGAGGAGAATATCTGTTGTTTTCTTGCTCTGGCCAGACCTTCCTTCCCTTCTTCCTGCAAAGTGCAGGCTTGAGGACGCAGCCCAGACCTTGAGGTTCTGGGAGAACCTGGGGGCACAGATGCCGGCCACTGGCTCAGTTGTGCCAAAGAGTTTTTTGTGATTTACAGTGTGTTGTGCTGAGCGAGTTGGCAGATGCTCTGAACTGGCAGAGAAGGAGGGAGATCGTCATGTGGAACAAAGTGCTGTCTCCTGGCAAGAACAAGGAGAAAGTCTAGTCTGCGGGCTTACCAGCTGAGTGCAATATGGTGCTTAAAAGTCATCCTGTGGAAAAGTAACGGGTAATCTGGTTGAACGGTATTAGCTGTATGCGTTTCCAGTAGGTGTTGTTGCTCTAAGTGCTGTCTCTGAGTGCCCTCTCCATGAAGGAACCGTCATCAAAGCAGATATTTAAATAATGTCAAAGGCTCTTTGACCCCAGTGCCATGCGGGGGTGAGGGGAGGGCATGAGTCACAAAGAAAATAGCACTGTTTTCCTTGTTGCTCAACCTCTCGCATTCTTCACCCTTTACATAAAAATGAGTATTAATAAATCCAGCAGACCCTAAAGAACCCCCTTAGAGTCAGGTTCCAAGGGGAATGAGGAGCTCAAAGGACAATGTGCAAAAAAACCTTGGTCATGGAAAGAAAACAGCAGCAACGTCGAGCTGATGAGTTGTCATTGAAACAGCAGTCTTGGCCCTTTGAATGCCATTGACGTTAAGGAAGCTCTAACTGAAATCACTAGTGCTGCATGTCGTGTGTTTTCCCTTGGTCTCTTGGCCACCTCTGTTTACTTTTCATTGCCACCAAAACTCACCCGTTTCGTGGCTAAGCTGCTATTGTTTAATTGCAGTTCTGATTATTCACATTAAATGTCAAGTGTCAAGCAACCCTTAAGTAAACGAGTGCTTTCTAAACACCACTGCAACCATTTGTTTTCTGAAGCCTGTAGCACAGTTTCTGCCTCTCTTTACATGGGTATAAACCTGGAGTAGCCCTGTTGAAGTACACAGAATTATTCCTATTTCTCAGCACAAGTAGGATCAAACCGAAGCTCCAGGGACAGCAGTTTATCTTCCCAGAGTAAGCACTTGTTTTTCTAATATGATTGCAAATTAATTCCAGACATAATGTGATACCATGTAATTGAGAGTCCCCTGAGCTGGTACCAGAGGCCATTTTTGCTGAGCCCTCTGTAGATCAGCAAGGATGTTATTGCACCAGTAACAGAGATTTAGGGAATCCTTGTTTGCTTTGAAGGTCTGTGTCCTGTGCTGCTGAAGGTTTCTTTCTCATCCCAGAAAGTGAGTGCAATAATAAATTTTCTTTCCTTCTCCCACCTTTCTGCATTCCTATATTGCTTGATATTAGATGGCTATGTGTGCTGCAGTTGTCCCAGGGTTGATTGGATCTTGACAGGCTAAAGAGAGAAAAAAGCTGTGGAGAGGGTGCTGCAGCCCTTCTCCCATCTGGGGTGCTAACTTGAGTGTTTCCTCAGGCCAACCAACAATTTTTCATGGAATTTGTAAGCAGGTACTTGTCTCTGAGACCTCTAACCTACTGTTGAACAGGACTGAAGCAGGCCAGCAACTTCCCATCTTACTCATGCCTGCTGCCAAGCTGGGGGTTTAAAAGCTTAGGAGCTACTAGCATACAAAATTTGCCCCTGAATTCCCCTGAAACACTCTTTTGAGTGACACAGGGAAAAGGAGTGAAGTCTTGAGGCTGCTGCGAAGGCAGTCGGGGGGTGCCTGGGGGGTTAGTGCAATCCGGGGCTCCAGGATTCTGCAGGATACAGGTGTACGTGCTGATGGAGAGGGGCTGTGTGCTGGCCGGGGGGACCTGTGGGGGCCTGGGGTAACTCTTCCTAACCTGGCTGTGCTCTTTAGATGCTGTGGCAATGTAAAGTGAGAAGGATGCTAGTAAGAGTTGCAGTGTAAACCCTATTTCTGCAAGGCTCAAAGACAGCTGATCGGAAGAAACCTGTTTATTGTGAGGTTTAGGAAAACAATTTTTATGCAAATTGCTTTTTTAGGCAAGTAATGGGGTTGATACAGAACTTGGAATATGATGTTTTAAGAATACAAATACATAGTATCTTGTTCAACAAACACAAAACAAACTTCTTCCCCAGGGAACATTAAATGAGCAAATGTTTGCTAAAATAAATGGGAAAAAAACATGGGATGGGGGGGACAAAACAAAACAACCCAACTTTGAAGCCAAAACCCCACTGAAGAAGCAGTAGTCACATCTTCAATTTTATGCTTAGGCTGTACTTTCACTTTGCTTTTCCTGTTCGATAGCTGCCAGAAAAACAGAGGAAACAAAAACCATCATCAATAAACATTATAATGATTCTGCAGGATACAAATTTCTACAGTCATTCTTAAAGCCGGGGATGGTAAGTCCCTGCTTGCTTTCTTTGGCCACCCCTGCAATGCCAACCCATTCCCACGTCTGCATAGCTAGTAGGGTGCAATTCATGATATGCAAACCTTCTCTTGCATTTACAGCTTTAGCATTGGTAGGGATAATAAAACAAGGAAAAAACAGGTATCTTGTGTCAAGGGACAGTGTGTCTCCATGGCTATCAGTACTGATGCATCCAAAGTGGTTAGTGATACTATTCTGCATGAAACCACTCACAATGTCTGGTCCAAATGCAGAGAAATGCCATTTTCACACCCAAAGTGGAATGTGAATCACAACCCTCATCTGGCTGCCTGTGCACAGCAATTGGACAGGAGAAGACCCTGCACAAGAAAAGCCCAGGGGTGCTTTGCTAAGGAAGATTGCCTGTTAGGCGAGGATGATGATGGGTTTCTCTTGCAGCCTTATTCCCAGAAAAGGTGCCTGGAGCTCTCCTGGCCAGGGCTGACAGCAGGTACCAGTGGGGGGCAGCAGTTTATCTGCCTGGTAACACGTTAAATCCAGAGCCCAGGCACCTTCTGGGGATTCTGCCTGGTCTGCCAGGAATGTGCAAGTGTTCCTCTGTGTGTCTGTGTCTCCAGAGAGGCTGGTAACATGGTAATTGCAAACAGTTTGATCCTGTTACCTGCAACCAGCAGAAAAACTGGTCTTGCTTTTAGCAGAAGTAAGAGCAATCCCATCAGAAAGGATTTTTCAGACAAAACGCACCATCGGTTGTAACTACTTGTATCCTTGGAAACCCGGCATAGAGTACAAGTCTTAGTATTATCCCCAGTTAAAGTCAGGGATGAGTTTGAGCCTGTAATCCTATGATTAGTATTCATTTTGCATATGAACTGCAATACAGATTGTATCCTTGCTACTTGTAGTTCAAATAGCCTCATAAGCACTTACTTTCTTTAGTGGGCAATGGATTTTTCTCTCTGGTTTCTGTCTTCTTCAGCTTGGTCTTGTCAAATGTTTCAATTTCTGCAAAATCTGGTTTGTCGGACATGATGGGTCCTGACAAAGAAAGGAAAAACACACCCATGGCTTCATCAGCTAGTGCTCTGATATCAGCCATCTGCAAAGCATTTTCTGTTTGAAAGAAAAAAATATGAAAATACCATAAAAATGTTTATCCCCCCCCCCCAATCTAACACCTCAATCTGGGACCTCTCCCTGAGGCTTGGCTCTTTCAGAGCAAAAGAGGAAAGGCATAAATAGAATTTTATCTAGATTTCTCAGATGAAATTTCTAAAAATCAAATTTTGCACATGGAAACAAGAATATCTCAGTAAAGAAAAGACAATGCATTAATTACCAATAACCCACAGTGCCTCCTGATGTAAACCTCTATTTTAAGAAATGCTGCTAACCAGAAAGTCTACAATAAACCCCCAATCCAATATGAACAAAGAGCTTCAATTATGATTTTGTTTTAATTAATAGGATTTGTCTTTAATTCTGAGCACCCTATTCTGAGTGCATACATACCCCTGTATCTGGATGAGCTGCTGTGGACACTTGTGCTTAACAATAGAGGACCGGTTCATCCAGCCCTTTGTTTGCTCTCGCACTCAATATCCCAGTCGCAGGCTCAATGGGTTTGATTGTACTCTATTATACAAATCCACAAAGCACACCGGCATTCAACACTTCACCTGTCAAAACTTCCCTAATCCAATTCCTGTTTTTAATAGAAATTCAAGTTAAAATCCAGCCTGGGCGTTATTCCCCTGATTTCAGTGGAGTTTCCCATCAAGGCGAGGTTTGGCCCGGAGATGGCTCATACAATTAAATTTTTTCCTTCCTGAAGACAATCAGATTTCATTGCTATCTGTACTGAGACAACAGAAGTAAATATTCACAGGAAAATAAAAAAAAAAAAAGAAAAGCTACTAAAACCACATGGCATTACCGTCTGGCTGCTCTCTCCTCAGCTGCTTGGTGGCCGTCTGAGGCAGTGTGAGTTGAAAAAGGTCAGGGTAATCCCTCCTCTCCTCTCCTCTCCTCCCCCCGCCCGAGCCCATCGCTATTAATATTGATTAGTTTAGTGCCGGGATTGCTCAGCGTTTAGGGAAAGGACAGATTGCTGCTGCAGAAAGTGCAGGAGGGAGGGAAATGGGAAAACTGTCAAAATCCATCTCGATTTTTTTTTCTTTTTTCTTTTCTCCTCATTTACCAAGACAATAATATTTAAGTTTCCCTTCCTGCCCTTCTTTTACAATGCTGAGGTTCCAAGTTTAGGTGAGATTTGGAGTTCAGTTAAGGGCTGGTGCTGCAGTTTGTGGGGAGTTTTTAGGTGAATTCAGCAAAGCGCCTGGGGATTGTCCCCCAGCTGCCCGGGCTGGCAGAAGGACGTGCTCGGGAGGACTTGAAGCACAGGCGTGGTATGATTGCCGCAATCGAGGGCCAAATCTGAGTTAAGCAAGGGTCTGAGCACCATGCTGGTGTCCAGGAATGTGTCCTGAAAGGAAGAACAATGAATCCTTCATTTGCTCCCATGCTGGTAGCTACCAACCCACTTGCTGGCGTCTCCCTCAGCCCGACAGGACGTGGCTCTGCTAGCCAGTCTGGGCAGCTGCCCGCAGCCGACCTTCCTGCCTTCGCTTTGCAAGAAGCCGTGTTTGCCCATCCTGCTTCCTTGGCTGTTCCCTGTCCTCCACCCATCCCGATGGCGTGGACCATGCTGGACTTGCTGGCAAGGAACATCTTCAGCTGTAGCAAAGGGAGAATGTGCTGTAGGTGCCAAGTGATGTAATTCAGAAAAACCTTCAAAATGGCTATTATCCCTCGCCTGTATTTGCAAAACGCATTTTGTATTAGATGTGGGCACTATCTGTAGCCACCTCCTAGAGCTGCTGCTGTTGAGGGCTGTGGACATCCCTGTGGCTGTGAGATGGCTCCAGCTATGCAGCACAAAACTACTTGGGGGGAATAATTTTTCAAGGCCCTCGGGTTTGGGAGGGAAGAGCTGTGTGCATTCTCCTAGATGCTGGCGTGGGTTTCCTCTTGTGTAACTTTGGATGGCTGCATCTGAATTGCTTGTCTAGATGCCGTGATAGTCAATAGAGAGGCAACTAACTTGGGAAAAAATTAATTGTGCCCTAGGAGCATCTGGGTTTCTCCACTGACTGTAAAGGGAGCCTGGACAATGAGCTCATGGAGACAGAGACATCTCACAGCAGATTGAGAGCCCTGGCAAGGTGCTGTGGATCTTTCTGTTGGCATAATAGGCTTAGGTAGAGTGAGTGTGAGTCTGATATGTGTGCATGGAGAAAATGGTTTTGATGTGTTTAAATGTGTTTTAAGGACCTCTTCTTCCAATGTTTGTTTAAATTAAAATAATGAACAGGTTTGCGGTTGGACTAGATGATCTTAAAGGTCTTTTTCAACCTAAATGATTCTACGAAATTCAGAAAAAGATGATTATTTTTACTCATCAGCATTCGTAAAGGTGGTTCCTTTTCACCCAGTGATTCTTTCCTTTATCGATCCTATTTTCCGTATCTTCAGAGAATGCAGGGGTTGCTGCATGCCCTGGTAAACACCACTCTGAGAGCAATTTTTCTCTGTAGCCGTGTCTGCAGTTTCTGAAATAAGGGAGAATGGTGGAAAAACCTGCATAACGCTGCTCAGCTGGAGCTCCAAAGAGATGGTCTGGGTCCCACTGAGCTCAGCTCTGTGCAAACCTGGCTGTGCTGCTTCTGGACTAAGATTGTCCTGGCAGCAATGTAGCTACATTTTTGTTATGTTGAAAGCTCAGTCAGCTTGTGTAGGCTGGCTTGGTTACCTCTGCATCTGCACTGACTGTCCACGCAAAATCAATGTGCGTACATAATAGCCATATTTAGCATCAGGACTTTGTTCCCTTGCTTCCATCCCATTAGTCCAACCAATTGTCAAAAATAGAAAGCTGTGTTCTTCACTGAAAACCCCTGGGAACAAGCAGGAAGGCAGCTACTGGGTGAATCTTCAGTGTAAGCCGTAGCTGAGATTTGGCACTGAACAGTCTTAGTGTCTGTTTAAAGAAAGAGCATTAACCTCTTCTTGTTAGGCTGGACACCAGATTTAGAAGATCAGAAAAGACTTTAAAACACAGTCTGAATGATTCATGAATGCAGGCAGTTCATGAGTTTCAGTTTTTTAAATATTTGCCCATTTTTACAAGTAACAATTAGAATTCTTATTATGAAGAAAGATTACAAGGGCAAAACCTCTTTAACTTTTAGACTGGCACAAATTCTCTCAGATGTAGAGAGCAATCAAAGTGTTTGGGACAGCGAAGCAGAGGAATCTTGCTTCTGGCTTTCTGTATACAGTCACGGGCTCAGCCTCTAGCATCCACAGCGGAGCTCAGGCTTTTCTAAACATGCTAAGACAGGGTGGGCATGCTTGTTTTTTCACCACCACCATTATAATTGCCTGATTAATTGGCAGACCTAGTATTAAAAACAGTTTGAGGCGAGTTGTTTGGGTTAGTCCATGTACCATAATGATGAGAAATTGTGTGTTCTCACTGTCAGCTCAAATCAGTAGATACCGACCTCCATAACGAACATCTTGACCATTGCATAAAGTGTCTGTCAAGTTTCTGTAGCTTGTAAGTTCAGTACTGTGGTCAAACACAGCTCATGCTGGATTCAAACCCTATGTTTACGCTCTATGCAGGACAGCCAGACATGTGTATTTTTCATATGGGAAGTTTGGAGTTTGGCCTGAGGGCATTGCGTCCTGCTTTGAGATAAGGCTGGTCACGGGATGGAAAGATGGGTAGGTGATACTTCATTCAGATGCCTTTTACTTTCACTGGGAACTGGGATATTCCTGCTAATATGAGCAGTGAAGCAATTATTTGACAGAAGGCTTTTAATGGCAGGATTTCAGCCACTGCCTTCAGTACGGGGAACATGGCAGTTACCTGGCCTAGGAATGACTGTGGCAGCAATGAACCTCAATGGTCTTTGACGTGCACAGGGGCAACTGAATGATCAGGCATATAGAAGTGAGAAAAACCACGCCAGCGTAGCAAGCAAACTACAGGATCTTTACAGATCCTGTACACACAAAGCACATAAAGCCACATTGGTATGGCCGTGTCTGGAAAGCTGCCTCAGTGCACAATGGAAATTGCATTTTATTTCAATCTGCTGCCAAAGGATGAAGGGCTGAGTCAAACCTGCCAGGACTGACACCTCTGGTACCAGTGAGTCACCTGCCACTGACAGCATTAAACCATGCCTGGCAGCACAAGCCACTGAGTGTCTGTCAGACACCCACAGAGAAACAGGGGAAAACAAATACTTGCTACCAGGATGCAGTAACAGGTGAGAGGAAATGTTTAAAGGGAGCTCAAGTGCAAAGAAAAATTCGGAGGGGAGTCTGAAAAGTGAGCCTGGGAGGTTTGGAGCCTGCTGCCACTCGGCTTTTTCCCTTGGCTGTTGTCACTTGGAAGCAGTGAGCTCAGCCTGCATGGGGCTGGGGCTGCAGGGACATCTATCTATCTATCTATCTGTAAAAGGGCTATAGCCTTTCACAGGCCGGGGGAACACTGTGCTCAAGTTTGACACAAGAGATGCTCTGGAAATGCCAAGTTTGATGGAGACTAGGTGGGCAACTGCAGGAAGAAGGGGTTTCTTTCTCTTCGGTGCAACAGTGGGAATCAGATCGCATCTATTTCTATATGGAGCTGAGGAGGGACAAAGCACCCTAATGTGAGCAGCCGGTTAGAGGAACAGACGCTCGAGCAGATCAGTGTCTGTAGCTGAGCCAATAAGCTGACACAACTGATTTTATAATCACATTAGTGCTGTCTCGAAATAACACACCCACTCAAATATAACAGTGATTTCATTTTCAAAATGTTGTGGTATTTTTGGTGCTAAAGGTAGGGGGTTAATTTTTCAAGGTCAAAAGCTGGGCTGGAAACTGCAAGCACCCCAATTCCTCTAGGTCCCTATGAGCACTGAGCACCTTCCAGAAAGGTAGCAGGATTGGGCATGTTATAAGCTATCCTTAGAAGGTTTCCCGTCCTTAGGGGAACAGAAAAAAAAAAGACTACAGCTTCACTGAAAGGGTTTTCTTAGTTCTCTTTGTGCCTTTTGTTCCGTCTTGCTGCCAAAAAAAATATCCATGTTTGGGAACAGAGACAGGTTCCCAGGCTAAGAGACAATGAATCTTGGGGGTGTAAGGAAGGCAATGATCTCTCTTTGGCAGAGTGTCTGCTGTAATGCTGCACTGCTCGTGTGTAAATACTCAATACTTGTCTTGTATTGTATGTTTTATCGTTACCTAAGGTGTTTCATTTTCCTCACTGAGACCGTTGAACCTTAAGGGTAAGTGTGTACAGAGGACTGAGGGAAGAGGAGAGGCTAGTTGTAGGTAGTCCTTCTGCTTGGGCTATTTTTTCCAACCCCATCTTTTCCAAATAGCTCTGGAGTTTAGACAGTCTATACTAAAGTCCCATTGCAGCAAAGAGCAAAGAGAGAAAACATAAGCTAGTGGGAGTGGAAATTTCCTTTCTCCCTCTTTTTTGGTCTTATAAAACTCAGTATGGGGGTGAATTTTTAAAAGTTTAACCAGATGGAGATTCTTGCAACAGAACTTCCTTGAGAACTGACCCAAAAGTGTGGCTTCCAGCATAAAGTACTTGGCTTTGGCCTGGCCTTTTCTAGCAAAATGTGGTGACACATGCATGCATTATTAAAGGAAAAAAAATTAATACAAAATGTCCATGCACATGCTTCTCCCAAAGACAAGGTGGGGAAAGAAGCATGTGATGTATTAGTCACATTAGTTAATATGCTATAGAGCACATGACAGTTTGTGATGAATACTGGTCTAGAAACACTAGTTTAGCATGTAGCATGACTTCCAGTCTTTACTAACAGTCTTTTTTTTAATCTCCTTTCTGTCTCTGGACA